ACAAACATCGTTTTATGTAATTGCAAAGTAACTAATAGTTAAACTTCATTAAAGCTAAAAATGTCTTCAGAAAATATCATTGAGAAAACTAATTTCTACTAATGTATTTTTCCTTGATTCATTCTCTTAATAATGATTATAAAATAAAGAATTTCTTGTTCAAGCCATTCATGTCTAATAAAATTGTACTTATATATATAGTAAAAATATTACAATTTATTGTTTCTCTATTTTGTCTTACACAAAATTACATATCACAATCAATATAATTTTTCCATAGTCACCATAATTGTAATGCTATTGTATATATTAATGATTTAAAATTGTTTTAAATATTCTTATTACATTGAATTTATTGAATGTACACATGTGTGTATCTTCTTCTCAACATGGGATTAAACTCTGGTTGTCAGCCTTGGCAGCAAGTGCCTTTACCCACTGTCTCGTGTTCCATCCTCTAATTTATTTTTTGCAAAGCTGAAAGTTGAAACCGGACGAGTACCACCCAGGCAAATCTACTCTAGAAATGTAGAAAGAGGATGAGGAAGAGAAAGATATAAATGCATGAGGTGAAGAGCTTTCTGTTTGTTGTGTTTGTGGGGGGGGGCAGTAAATACTGCTCTTTAAAATGAACATCATCATAAAAGATCGTAAAGGGAAATTAAAACATGCTACTTTCAAGTTTATATTTGCATGAATAAAACACACACACACACACACACACACACACACACACACAGCTAGACTAGGCACTCAGAATGGAGGTTTCAGACATTCACATTAAATTTCACACCAGGTTTTCATACATGTTGTGTAGACTTTGGGTCTGGTTAATTTGATGTGTGATGCTCTTATTTACTTATTTCTTAGCAAGTTTTTTTTTTAATGATAAAGTTTATTTAAATTTTTAAAATGAAAATCAGATCAATAACTAACAGAAATGTTTCATCACTAAACACAAAGTGATAATCAAAAGTAGAGGGACTGTTAGCCTGATTTATTGTTGTCTTGAACCCCTCTGTTTACACCTCAGGATAATCCTCCATCCACATTGCTTAAACCTTGGCTCAACCTTGAATATGGATTGCTGATTCCTTCCTTCTACTCCAACATAATCCCCGATAAGAATTTTATTATAAGATTATTTCACTTATGCTTTTGTAATTTTCCTACATGTTGGAATGGGGAGTTTCTAACACCCAAATCCTTGTAACTTCTAGGATCTGGGTCAACATTAAGTCCAGCCCTGCCTTAATTATTTTACAGCCTTGATATTATTCTATGACAAAATCTTTCTAACTCCTAGAATCCTCATACTTCTTAATTGAAGAGGTCTGAATATGTCACTCCAGAAGACAGCACATTTTGTATTTGCAAAGCCTTGGGTTTAATCTCCAATACATGCAAAACTCAAAATTAGTAAAAGACTGAATCTTTAGTCATTGTATTTACTGGAGTTGGATGTACTGGGGACCAAATTCAGGCCCTCAGATATGTCAGGCAAGTATTCTGCCAGATTCTATCCCCAGTCCAAGGTTGAATCCATGCTACAGTGGTCAGCCTTACATGGAGATATTTGAAAGCAGATAGAAAACAATTCCTACAGAAACTGTAGCAAGTATTCTGCTTTTTGTCATTAGAAAGTACAGCCTGGGGTACTGGCAAGATTGCTCAGTGCTTAAGATCAGAACCCACTCTTGCTGTGGGCCTGAGTTTGTTTCCCAGCATCTTTGCTGGATGGCTTACAATTGCCTATAACTCCAACTCGAGGGGTTCCAGAATCCTCCAAGAGCACCTGCATTTCAGTGCACATCACCACACACACACACACACACACACACACACACACACACACAAAATAATAAATAATCAGTAAAAAATGCAGTGGATTAAAATGAAAAGAGAAGTAAACATGACTACCATGACTGATTACTATTATGATAATAATAGATAATTTGGGTGTTTATCATATGGCAGCCACTAAGTAGCTTTCATTAAATTTAATCTTAGAGAATTACTACAAAGCTGACAGAGTGCCACCCAGCCTCTCCTGACATCTATCCATAATGGCAGAATTACTCAATAACTGCCAGCTTTCTGATATGTCCACCTTGTCACTCAGCCCCTCCCTGATTTAAATGCATCCTATGACAAATTGTCTTTCTAGACAGCATCCCCCACACACAATTCTTTATGCCAAGGATTTGAAAGCAGTATACTCAAGCCTTCCCCCTTTCTCTATTTCCTCTTAACTATTAGATAGATTAAAAAAATGAAGACTTTATTGGAGACCTTTATGTTAGGGAAGGGAGAATAAACTGAATTCCTCTAAAATCAATGGCAGGTGAGTTTTTAAACTGCTAGGAATATACTGAAGAATTTTGGAGACAGGTTACTCAATGTAACTAGGCCATCTGTGTTTATTCGCTGACAAATAGGGAAGCAAGGCTTCTACTCTCCCACACAGGGAAAGAGAATTTGGTGTCCTCCATTCCTCAATGACTCCATTTCAAAGAAATGGCTCATGGGCCCTTAGTCAAGCTAAGAGAAAATGTAAAATGTTCCCACTGCCTGGGCGCTATTGCTTCCAGCTAGCCTGAGAGATGCTGGTCAACTCCGTTAACATTATTACAACCTCTTCTGTTTTCTTAAGATTTTGATTTTTACTTATGTGCATGTGTGTGACTGTATATCTCACATGTACTAGTGCCCAAGGAGGCAGAAGAAGGTACCAGAGCCCCTGGAGCTGGAGTTACAAGTGGCTGTGAGATGCCCAACATGGATACAGGCAACCTCACTCAGATCTCGCAGTGAGTACTTTAAGCTGCTGAGCAACCCTCTCTTCAGCCCTCTATTATTCTCTTTCTAGCTGAGAAGTCAGATTCTGCTTTTTAAATTGACTTCCTTGTTCTGAGCATAACTGTTCTTATTCTACTGGGAACTGCTGACTGGAACAGTGCCTATTACCTGAACACACCTACTTGCCCCAAGTAATCTGGACTTTTCCTTTCCTTATCTCCATTTATGAGATGATTTCAAGAAATAAATTCATAAAGAGTCACCCTTTCTGATTAAAGAGCAATCAATGTACTGCTTGCTGGCTGTGGCTATAGAGACTTCAGGGTGTCCCAGAGTCCCAGCCCTGTTTTCTTACCTGAATCAGTTGACTGAAATTCAAGCCCCACCTTTGCCCCACTCCCTTGTAATTCGTCATGAGTGACTGCAGCTGTGACTCAGCTGCAGAGGTCTGCAACTGTGCTGTCCTTAATGACTTCCTGTCCTGCCCTCCCTCGGGGGCTTGTGACAATAAACTATTTCTCATTCTCTGATAAGGAAAGACTCATTCCCAGTTAAGAGATTCAATAGTCAATCAATAGTTCAGTAGGGACAATTATTGAATAATATAGCTGTTTAAAAAGACACTTTTTCCGGATTTACAAATCCCTTATGAACTTTTTATTCCCCTTTATGAACTGTAGTCCCATAATCCTGCACATTGTTATTGCCCTGGCATTGTTAACAATAAATGATAATTTTTTTTAAAAATTTATATTTTTAATTGTGGTAAGTGACTGATATGTTGAAGTAACCCTGAGGGATAGGTCGAAACTTGTGAAACTCTAATGTGAATCACCCAGGGATCTTTGCAGAAAAGCACACTTGCTCTCAGTGTGCTTTGACTCAGCAGGGCAGTGAGAGGACAGGGGACTTGAGACACTGCTCTTCTCTGCTTTGGGGGCCCTTGCACTAGATCACTAGTGACACCAGACACTGACCTGTATGTGAGCTTATCATTCTGGTTCCTTTCTGCTGCTGTGATAAAACTCTATGGCCAAAGGGGACTCAGTGGAGGCAAAGTTTCCTTTCTTCTCGAACTACCAAGCAGCTAACCAAGCAGCACCCTTATGTAAAAGCATTCTTCCGCAAATACACAGGGGTTACACCAGGACCATTTTTTTATAATTTAGGCTTACAGTAAAATAAATGCATAGATATGCATTAGCTGAAACTAATACATGAAAGCCACACTTGGAATTAAACGTTCTACAGTGATGATTAACTGATTGTGACTTGAATGGTGATAGAGATTTTGGATGTTGCAGGCCAAGGCCCAATACCCACCTCTATGTGTGATCTAACATTCTTGGAATGTACAGACGCTTGGCTTCCACCAATCCAAAGGCTAATAATGACATCATTGGCATCTGAGACCTATAACAGAAGTTTCCCACTTTGCTGTACCCACCTACCTGATAATTTCTCCAGTGTATTTTAAAAGCCTATGAATTCATGAAATATTCTGTTGTTCTGATAGTTAAAAATGTCATGAAATTAATTGGCACATGGGTTTAGGCATAACCTGAATCATTGGGTTCCTGGGCCGTGGTCACCCGTGTGTGGTTTTAGAATGGAACTAGGTTTTTTTCCCTTTGAGGTAAGAGCTGTATGTTTTGGGTCAACATAAGAATACACATGAAGAAAATTAAAATAAAACCAAGAGATACTAAATATTAAAAGAGATTTGGGACAATATTGGTTGTCTTTTAATCTATCTTCATTAGCCCTGCCATATTTCTTTAATTTTTTTCTAGATGAGCAAACATTTTCTCATTTCCTTTCTTTTCTTTTTCTGTTTTGTTTTGTCACAGGGTTTCACTATATGTATCCCTGCTGCCCTTGGGATCCCAGAGATCCATCTACCTCTAGATCAAAGCAATTAAAAGCTTATGTTACCACACTGAAAATAAAGCTATTCTTTCTTCTTTTACAAGTCGCTTTCAGGGCTGGACAAATGGCTCAGCAGTTAAGAACACTTGCTGCACTTACTGAAGATCTAGCTTCAATTACCATTACACCCATGGAGGATCACAACTACCTATACTCCAGTTTTAGGGAATCTAATACAGTCTTTTGCTCTCTGTGAGCAGCCAGCCCACACACTGTACACATACAAACGTACAGAAAACACTCGTACATAAAATAAATTTAAAATTTAAAAATCTTAGGAAAAAAAGAATCACAGTGAATTTTAATAACAAGAACTCATGAGGCTCCTCAATACAACAGCAAGTCAAATTTAACAAATATCACAGGTAATAACAGGTGTGGAAAAGGGGGTTAAGGAGAGGTGGCGGTCAAATATTCTGGCACACACTGTCATCCCAGTGTGTGGGAGGCTGAGAAAGATCTCAGGTTCAATCATCACAGGCTAGACACCAAGTCCAAAGTAAGCCTGGGTTACGCAATGAGATGCTGTCTCAAAAAAAAATACATATTAATAATAAAAAAAGAGGTAGACACTGGCCTGATCCATGGTGGCTATGTGACTTTGACATTTGTCCCAGTTATAATGTGCTCCGATGAGCCCCTGGGGGTCTTGGATGCAATGCATCTAACAAAGACAATTTCAGATGAACTAGTTTTTCTTTGAGGTAGAAGTTAAGTCAAAAAGCCAAGACTTGGTCATCTGAGAGAATCCTTAGCACTGAGGACAAGTTCGGATGCTCTTCCTGGGACATTTGTGAAATGGAAAGTGTTCTTCACCTGTAAGGCAAATCAAGACATTTCAGCAACCACTTTTTGCTTTCAATGTGACACCTACTTTTAACCTGTAAACATGCTGCAGACAACTAAACTGGGGGCTTAGGGAAGTAGTTTAAAAATTATTTTTTAATATGGGGTGTTATGGCACATGTTAGTCCCAGCATTCCGGAGGCAGGCAGATCTGAGGCCTGTCTGATTTATACAGAGTCCCAGGCCAACCAAGACTACATAGCAAGACCCTGCCAAAACAAACAAACAATTATTCAAAGCTTTGATAGGCTAAGAAGACAATGAAAGCTTTGCCATCACTTAGCATAGTGACCATGGTCCTCTAGCCTTACCTGAAGCCTCCCACATGGTGTAGAAATCATTTCTAAGTAATTTGGAAAATGTATGTACTGATCCACTAATGATGGGAAAAATCAAAAATAAGTATTTCCGGAGTATAGGAGAAAGTATTGAAGTCTTAGTAAAAACTACTAGATCAGTTTTCATTGTTTTGTGGTTGTTTGTTTTGCTTTTGATTTCTATAGTGCTATTTGATTTCTATATTATTGCTATATTATTAAATAAAAAACTGAATCCCAGTTAGGAGAACAGTGGGTTAAATGACAACAACTGCACTAATAATCATAAGAGTTAGTGTTGAGCGTGTACTACAGTATTCTAAGTATTTTAACTAAATCCTACCCCAAAAGCTCAGCATTTGTTATCCCCACTTAGCAAGTAAAGACATAGGGATTAGGCACCTTGCCCAAGGCTACTAGTTAAGGAAGGATTGATATGAGCCAGAAAGCTCCACAGCCTCCCTTCTGAGAGCTGAAGGATGTTACTGTTTTGGATCATTGGGAAACAGAGTTGTTTTTCTTGTCTCCATTCAGTGCTCAGTCACCTAGGACCAATTACAGAGTTGCAGAGAGGCCACTTACCAGTCACGATTAGCCTTACAAAGAGGCCATGAAGAAGTTCTGCAAAAGGGGAATTTACTGGAGACCAATATCATATTTTCCACCTACTCAACGGCTCTGTGGCTAAGTAAAAGGACTAACATCCTTCTTCTGGGAAGCTCTCCCAGGCCTTGCAGAATGCAGGGATAAAGATGAATCTCATACTTTTCCGAAACCTGTATTAGAAACCTGTGGTGCCCTCAGATAGCTAGTTCCACTTTTGAGACAGGGTCTCCATGTGCAGCATAGACTGGCCTGGAACTCAGCTTCTCCTGCTTGGGCATATCTGGATCCCTAGAGGTGAGATGCAGAAAACCCCATCCACAAATCTTCATGGGGGAGGTGACCACATTTGTTGTCTACTTAGTAAACACATGCAAACACTTGCTTATGAGCTACACAAGCTGTGGGACCTCTAGGCCAAGCTTAGCTCATCTGTAAAAGAAGGATGCTACCTGGCCAGGCAGAAGATCAGAAGTGGATTAGATGATGGCTTGAAGGCCATTCAAGCTCTTAACTGAAGACAGCTGAAAGGACTTGAAAAAGAGGAGCTGTTGAAGCTTCATCCCCTCTCCTTTGTTACCTGAGTGTTACCAAACACTCCTCCCATAGGGGTCCCTCACCTCTCTCCAAGAGCTTTGTTTTGCTCCTCAGAATTCCATACCATGTCCCAATACTAAAAGCTTAGTAACAATGTGGTGATGGAGATATGATTCAGTGGTTACAAGAACCTGTTGCTCCTGCAAAGGACCCAGGTTCAATACCCAGCACCCACACAGTGGCTCACAATCATCTCTAACTACAACTCCAGGGGATCCAGTGTTGACTTCTGAGAGCACCAGGTACACTAGCTGTGCACAGATGTATGTACAAGCAAAACACTCGCATAAATAAAATATTAAAGTCATTTTTAATTCCAGTGTCGAATGACAAAGAGAATACATTTTTGTTTTGTTTTGTTTTTGTTTGTTTTTCGAGACAGGGTTTCTCTGTGGCTTTGGAGGATATCCTAGAACTAGCTCTTATAGACCAGGCTGGTCTCAAACTCATAGAGATCCACCTGTCTCTGCCTCCTGAGTGCTGGGATTAAAGGCCTGTGCCACCACTACCCTGCCAAAGGAAATACATTAAGGAACCAAGTACTAGCCTTAGATCATTTTACATACAGGAAGAGTTTGGTCAAGGGTGCAGACTGCTCTTGCAGAGGACCAAGTTTGGTTCCCAACACTCAGTTTCCTCCAGGCACCTACTCATATGCACATACTGACACACCCACTTACAGCAGAGTTATTGTCAATTCAGCCTTAACTACAAATCTTACTTGTTAAAAACTGTGGATAAGAATAGAGTACATTTCTTTCTGAACAGAAATAGTGGAGCAATGAATGGGGGATGGAGTGGGGAGGAGAAAAGGGAGGGGAAACTATGGTCCTGATGCAAAAGAAATAAATTAATTAAAAACAAAAACAAACAAACATAAAGAATACCCATATAACCATGTATGACATATTGCATGCAGAATGTCTACCTAATTTATTAAACAGTAAACTAGGTTAGATGCCCTTTGGAATGAAGCCCTGTTGAATGGCATTTTACCCTGAAAGCTCAGGCCAATCTCCCCCCCCCCCAAAAAAAAAATCCTCCCAAACTAGTCTTTCTTTCCCTTACTCCTTTTCCTCTTAACACGGAAATAGGAAGGACGGAGTGGAAGCTGAACACCACTATAGAGTACCTAGAAATAGTTTGCTTCACTTCTTGTTTCGTTTTTTTTTTTTTTTTAAATAATAACAAAAAAAAGTCTTTAAGGCTTTCAAAGCAAGCCCCTCTCTGCACTCACTCCACACACCACACACATCCCACAGAGCAGACCTCGAACATTCCTTGTGCTTTTGGGTGCTCAAGGGGAAAGAAAGATGCAGACAAGCAATACTTCCAACAACGCCAACAAGTGAACTATGGTTTTGCGCTGTCAAACTTCCTTATGCCGCCCATGTAAAAATACCTTTTGTTCTCTTAAAAGACTGAGACACTGACGCCACGGAGGAAATCCAAGGCTGCTGAGAGTTGGTTCTTCGAGCATTTTCTCGAAACACAGCCCCGAAATATTTCTCAGGTTTCCAGGAATCTATGTGTTTAATCTCCTCCGGGAATCTGGTCCTTGGCGAAGAATACCAAGATGCGGTACATCCAGGTTCTGCTGGGGTCCCGGTGCCCCACACACTGTGTCACTCACTCTGGGTGCGAAAAGTGACTGCGGTCACAGAGCTCTCCTCGGTTCTAGTGGTCATACGGCCCTTGGTCCACGCAGTCTGCAGTACCTCCTGCGTCTCCTGGTAATCCACGATCCGCACCAGCACCGACCTGGGTGTGGCTGCGGGGTCCCCGGGCTGGGCTCCGGGGACCGTGGCAATGCGCCGTCTGGAAAGCTTCGGTTCCGGTTCCGAATGGCGGCGGTCTCCAATCCTCGGGGGCAGGTCCTCGCTATCCGCCAGCTCGGGGCAAGCAGGGTCCGTATGCTTTCCCAACCACCTCTCGGGGTGCAAAAGAAAGAGCACTTTCTCTCTGACCCAGGACTGGCAATCCAAATTCTGTCGCGTCCGAGATCTCACATCCCCACCTGCTGCTGCTGCTGCTAGGTCCCTGTCGGTCCCCGCCAGCGTGGGATCCCGGGAGCCCGGATCCAAGGGCGGCCCACACTCCACCCCGCGCGCAGAGCACCCGGCGCGCCTCCGGGACCTCCCGGGCTCGATCCCTGCGAGGGGGTCATTCATACGTCCTCGTTTCTCCAGCTCCCAAAGGAAAACTCTGCTCTGAAAACCGCGGGCGGGCGGGCGGTGCAGGCACTGGGTGTGGCCTGAGCGAATTACAAATTAGAGGAGCAGCCCGAGGCCAGGATAGCTGAGGACTCCAGTCTCCGTTCTTGGTCCCCTTTTAGCCCTTAGACTTCATGGCTTTCCACCCATTCAAGCACAGTCTGGGCGCCTCTTCTTCTTACCCTTGGCCATAGACTCAATTTTTTTTTTAGCGATGTGTTTGGCTCCAACCCCACGACTGCCTAGTGAGGTCTCAATCTGCCCTCACACCTACTTTCCTCCGATCCAAAACTGAAATGAGAGGTACTTGGGTGCTGTGACCACCTCAGATTCTCAAAATACTATTCTTCATTTCCTTTCCATGAATGATCAAACATGAAGAAAGAAGTAAGTTTGGCTTTTAGTCTTGTAACTTAATCAAATTCTTCTGAAAAGAATATTTGAGAGAAGGTGCCATGCCCTGGAACTCTCTGTGTGGGCCTGTTTTCAAACTCCTTGGCAAGACCCCCACAGCCACCCCTGTCCTCAGTTTCCTGCATTGTTTAACTGAAAAGGATTTGTGTCTGCTTTAGCTACTGTACCTCCAACTCTATGGAATACAGATCGCAGGGTGAGATTGAGACGGTTGAACTAACCAGCTAAGCAACAGTGGAGAAGCTACCTTAAATGCCCTCCCCTGATAACGAGATTGACGACTAATTTATATGCCATCCTAAAGCCTTCATCCAGCATCTGATGGAAGTAGAAGCAGATACCCACAGCTAAAAACTGAACTGAATTGGAATCCAGTTGCAGAGGAGGAGGAATGATAGCAAAGGGGTCAAGACCACGCTAGTGAAACCCACAGAAACAGCTGACCTGCCATCCTAAAGCCTTCATCCAGCATCTGATGGAAGTAGAAGCAGATACCCACAGCTAAAAACTGAACTGAATTGGAATCCAGTTGCAGAGGAGGAGGAATGATAGCAAAGGGGTCAAGACCACGCTAGTGAAACCCACAGAAACAGCTGACCTGAACAAGAGGGAGCTCTTGGCCCTCAGATTGATCACTGGGAAACCAGAATGGAACTGATCCAGACCCCATAAACACCGGTGTCAGTGAGGAGGCCTCGGAAATCTATGGGGACTCTTGTAGAAAATCAGTACTTATCCCTAGCATAGGAATGGACTTTGAGATCCCATTTCACATAGAGGGATACTCCCTCAGCCTAGGCACACGGGGTAGAGCCTAGGCCCTATTCCAAAGGATATGACAGACTCTGAAGGAACCCCCATGGAAGGCCTCACTCTCCCTGGGGAGCAGAATGGTATTGGATAGGTAGGGCGTTAGTGGGGAGGCAGGCGAGGAGAGGAGGGAGAAGGAACTGGGACTGACATGTAAAACAATCTTGTTTCTAAGAAAGAAAGAAAGAAAGAAGGAAGGAAGGAAGGAAGGAAGGAAGGAAGGAAGGAAGAAAGAAAGAAAGAAAGAAAGAAAGAAAGAATAGTGCTGTTAGTTGGCACATTTCCTTTTGAATGCCAGGGTCTGTGGGGACAGTGGTCACCTCCATCTGTGTTTGAGTTGTTATCATTACTTAGAGAGAGGCCTGGTGCCTTTGACTTGAAGAGAACCAGAAGAAACAAGAGGAAATCACTAGGGCTTCCGAATGTATGTTCTTGTGCCTTTCTAGATCCCCCTCCCATTCACCCAGTCTCCCCTCTTTTAGGCCCAAGGATAATACATACATACATACATACATACATACATACATGTGTTTGCATGTATGTACATATGGCTATGCTTGCGGATACTCCTTGTGGCCAGGGCCTGTGCCACTTTAGTCTCTGCTGAGGTTCATGCTAGCCAATATGAGAAAAAGCTCGTATGTGTAAGTTCTAGTCCATCCTTGTAATAACAGTTTGTTTTACTCGAAAATATTGTTTTCCTGTCTGGTTTAGCAAAATGACCGCTAAACCAGAATGTCTGCTCTCACAAGAGAGACCAAACAGCATGGTGAAAAAGACATGCTGGTGTCAGGGGGGGATCCGGCCTTGCTGTGGTCGGGTTGGCCACTGCTATTCCATATTCACCATTATTGTGTGCTTCGGATGAAAATAGCTTTCAGCACTCAGTTATCCTTCACAGTGAAATAAGGAACTAGTATTTCTTTATTATCTTTGGGAATTTTAAAGCGTTCCTGACCCTGAGCAGACACTGATAAACAGTAGAACCTTGTTCCTGTCTGACCTCTAAAGTATCTCCATGTCAGACTATAAAGGTCTGTCCTGTTCGTACTTAACCAGAATGTACCTAGCATGGCACATGCCCGTAACAGGGTGATGGGACATTTAGGGGAACAAGCCAAACTGCTTGTCTCCATAGTGTGCTTCCCTTGAGGTAAAGTGATATAATCACCCAGGAGTCATAGATTAAAAACTATGTGTGTTTCTGGGAAACATCGGCAGATCAACATTCTGACCTATTTTCACAGATTTAGTCTCCATGGCTTTGGAGTTAAGCTTTGAACACTGACTTTTAGCAAGGCCTTCAGTCACTCTGATGCTGGTGGTCCATGGACATCATGGAAAACATATCACAAATTCACAGCAGCTGCAGATGTTTGCACTGTGTCAGTACAAGAATGGGCCCTTTAACAGTGAGGCCTGGGTGGAGGAAGGGCTCTGGGACCCTAATCCTCACTGCTAAGTCATTTGCTACTGAATGATTCAAGGAGGAGGGAAATCACCCTCTTTGTTTGTATACTGTCTGGTGACTCTGTTGGGCTCCAATGAATAATCCCATCTAATCGTCCCACAGATGGCCCTGATGAAACTAAATGGATCACAAGTAGTCAGCTCTGAGAACATACACACAAGTAACATTATACAGACCGAGTAGGTTATATTTAGGAATCTATATTTACATAGATATATGCTTGCAACAACAAGAGATGAGAAAAGAGGCCATGAGTTGGAAAGAAGCCTGGAAGGACAGGGAAAGAAGAAAGATGGCATAATTTCAAAAACAAATAAGAAGTCATGAACCTGGAAAGGTTGATAGGGACAGAAGTAGGAGGGATTTTAGCGAGGGTGTGGGGAATAGAGTGATGAGAACATGTTATCTGCATTTATGAAACGGTCAAAACGCCTAGTCTCCTTTTGTTCCTTTGAAGCAGCAAGGAGAACATTGTCCATTCCTTCTTTTCAGGAAAACTGGAAGAATCCTAGTTGGAGTGTATGTATCTGAAGGAAGTACAAGATTATCCCTTCCAAGTCCTTTTCTGGCCTTGGGATGAGATGAAGAATTAAACCTGGAAATGGAAAAAGAAGAAAACTATTTGCTAAGGAATGAGGCAGACACACCTCTCATACAGCATTTGTATTTTTAAAGGAGAAGAAATGTTGTATTTGTGCACATAAGACCATGAATGGAAAACGTGGAGGAAATACACTCACAGAAGTAGGCAGCTTTCCCCGAGGTGGTGTTGGCTGTGTGTTGTGTAGCTGATTGGCCTCCCAGTGAAACTTCAAGGAGTAAACAAACCTTTCAAGCAGGTTCAGGAAGCTACTGGAAAGCATGCAATTCTCAAAGCCGCCTAAAGTTATATGCACAGAAACAGATGCTATAGCGAGAACTAGCTCTCTGCCTGTTGTGTAGGGACCTCCTAGAATACAGTTTAATGAGTCATCGCTCATGCTGGGTGGGCTTTCCAGTGATGTAGCCGCCTTTGAGTCACTTGTAATTAACCCCAATAAACTCACAGGTTCCCTAAGCTAGACTTAAGTGACATCATGTCTTTGCCTCGTCATCCGACGCCCCTTCTGGGCTGAGTGTACAGTTGTTCAGAGTCCCTTTCATAAGTCACACAATACTGTGTTTTAATATATCAAAGAGATTTTTTTAAAATGCATTAAAAGTCCTGAGATGACCCCTCTGGCTGTCTCTCTAAGTTACTTGTGCATGCTGTAAGCATTTTGACCAATGAGGGTTTGCCTGTCAATCTGTGCTGAGTTCTACTGAACAGCAATGGTGAAACTCCAGTTTGCACTATATCCTCAAAAGTCAGAAGAATTTCATTAACTCATTGAGAGGCTGTGTGTCTCTTAGTAACGTCAGAAGCTACACCATGAAGGCTCACCAATCTGAGTGCCCAATAGTGAGATGATACCAATGAACATACCAAAGTGAAGGAGGGAAAAACCCATGATACCTCATCGCTTCACAGAACTACAGTGTAAGGAGGCTGTAACCAGACAGGCAAAGGCCTGGCTGAAGGGAGATTAAGACAGAAGCTTACAACCAGGCAGTCAAAGGCCTGGCTGGAGAAAGATTAAAGGAAAGGGGTATAGGCCCACTACCCAACTATTAGAGATAAGAGTGAAAATGTGTGCAAAGTGTGATTAGCAAGATTTAGCAAACTATTTAAAGGACCAGCTCAGAACGGGGAACTTTAGAGTGTACCATGACTCTGTCCTGGAGCTCTCCTCCACTAACCTGAAACAACCAGTCCATCAAGCTGAGAGCTGTGGGTTCTGAAAACAGATACCACGACAGCCTGAATTCAGCAGAACACATGTCTGGAGCCCGAACCTGCTTCTGCTGCAGGAGAGGTACCCCCTGCTTTGAGCCTAGTGTCTATGGTTCTTAGGATTATTTGCTTATGATTGTGTGTGTTACTTTGACATAAACGTGAGGTAAAACTTATATACTCAAAACCAACCAAAGAATGATAGAATGAGTCTGTCATTCTTCCTGGGTTAAAACCTAGTAAGGGCTCGAGACATACAGGCAACTGAAGAATGCTCAGAGTGGGAGAACTAGTCGTCCTTAGGGATGAGCACACCAATTGGTTATCCACGCCAAATGGTCAGCCCTGAAAATATACATAGAAATAAAATGTTATACTGACAGAGCAGGATATGTTTAGGAGTGTGTGTGTGTGTGTGTGTGTGTGTGTGTGTGTGTGTGTGTGTGTATAAAAAACAAATACAAATGAATGAAAAAAAGACCATAAGTTTGAAAGAGACCAAGGAAAGGTATATAGGAGGATGTGGAGAGGAGAAGGGAAAAGAAGAAATGTTGTAATTATGTTATAATCTCAAAAATTTAAAAAAATAAAAAGGTAATACAACTATCATTTTTTTGCCTGTAGTATAAGAAGAGTATAATTTTGTTGGTGTTCTCATTTTAAGGGTGAGACTCAGCAGGATCTCTCTCTTCTGCCC